CTTTGTATTTCCCATCATACTAATGCATTTACAGTGTTCCTGCTGCTTTTTTGAAAAAACCTGCTCTGAGGTGACATGCAAATTTCATTGGCAGGTAGCGCCACCGGGGACACTGAACAATCTACGTATGTGCTTTAATAAAGGACATCGTGACAACAGACATGCATACCCTCAACCCCTTAGCATTTGATTATCCAATTCAATATGGTTCTTCAAAGTCTGCCTCGGTCACTTACCAATCTGGTTAAACATCTTAAATGCAATGTCAAACTGCAGGATGACCAGCATGAACTGGAACCAGGAACTCATTTCCTTCTGGGGTAGAGGAATGTGGACAGCAAACACAATGTTGTTGGCTTCAATCTTTTTGGCCACGGCCTCATCAAAGCTCCGGATCTTTTCACACTGGTCATGACCCCATGGCATAAACCATTTCGATTCCTGACGGTGCTTGATTGTGTCCACACATTTGGTGGCCAGGTAGTGCATTGCTGTGGTAGGGCTGGGAGCTGGGGAAACAAATATTGAGGCAGAGAGAGTTTAAGTTACTTCAGAAGCTAATAAGTCACACACAATGTTTCAATAAAAAAAAATGTGTAAGTAAAACACTTGAGACCAGAAAGGGACGGCAGATACAAAGATCACAGAGGCAACCTGGAATAGCCCCGGGCAGGTAGGAAAAGTGATGTCAGACTTTAAGTATGTTCTGACAATCTGCACATTAAGGTGAACTCATAAAGTAAAACTTCATTCTCTTACACTCACTTACTTCCTAAAGTCCATGGCTCTATCTGTACCCTGGTCTCCACACTAGCATGTCCAGAATAAAGGTTGCCCTCTTAGCCCACTGACCCCACACTGTTCCTGGGTTTGTTGGGAAACAAGTGGTGAAAAAAAAAAAAACCCTTTCAACTCAATTACCCCTGCTGCCCCCATCCAGCGAGCAAACACAAAGGAATTTGGCTTCATTAAAACCATCTTAGGCGGAAACGAACCGAACATGCTAATTTATCACACGCCGTGTAAGTCAGCGAGGAGAAGAGTGGCTGACGGAATTCTTCAAGCTGTTAATGGAATCAGAAAGTTTCACAGGGTCTGAACTCAGACATACATATACATTTCTAAAACAACTCAAAATTGTTTGCAAAATTTGTTCAAATACAAAAACTAGGGAAAAAGGAACCTGGGTGTATCAAAAGGCCAGCCGGCGAGGCAGAGAGTGTGAGAGAGGGGGAGAGACACTGGGGAAGGAGGAGGAGTGAGAGGATGGTAGAGATGCTGCCTGAGGCCCCACACAGCAGACAGACACATGTGGGAGGAGGAGGAGCAACAGGGGGGGAGAACAAGGACATTCGATTTTGGATTAAGGAAGTGTGACGAAAAGCAAAAGATACTGGGCGTACTTTTGAGCAATACTGGAATAAACTCAACAACAGAGATAATATTGCAAAATCTGCCTGTGGCACTATGCCAAGATAAACCCTAAAAAAATATTTTTTTCCATTAATGTAGGGATAGGATATTGGGTGAGTTAAGATTTCTCCCATGCCTGGCATCACATAGCGTATAGAAGACAAAGAAAACCTTTTATTCATATTTCTTTCTATAAAATAACCAAAGGAATATTCAAATGTAATCAACTTGTAGATTACTGTGATAGAAAGGTTTCCTTCTCACTGGGTTCAATAATAAACAATCAATGTCTTTTCATACTGGTGAACGAAGTAGTTTAGCTTCTTTATCACTAAATTAAATGTTAGTAACTTGCTTCGGTTAAAAAGAATAAACACACATTAAGCTGTCTTTCTTTTTAAATGGTGATGAGCCACCTTTTCTTTGTAGGACAGCTTCCTGTACCTATGCTATCTACTGAGGTAATTAATGTAAACAGGCATTCAGGGAATAAGCAGACAGTACAGAGTTGCAAATATGAGTACCAGAACCCTGACCAACCCAAGACAATATAGAATATTATGTCCCCTATAAATAGTTGAGAGCAAGTGATAATAAAAAACACACTAGAGTTAGAATTATTTTAGACAACTGTAACTATCATTTCTTATGTACTATACTGTAATATCTGGGAATTAATACTTTAAAATAAAGTATTACTGATTCAGGGAACTCTGTTGTAAATGGAAGACTGTATAGATAAAACTACTCCATAATGTATTATTAAATGATTAAATTGATTATTTATTAAAGTTACAATCATTGTTAATTGCTGTGTAATTATTGTTTTTTTTTATCAGGCTAAGAATTCTGCTGCATGGACCGGACCTTGAGTTTGACATTACAGTTCTACAATAAAAGAATAGGTGACTTAAGAAAAGACCAGAGAAACCAAGGGAGAAAAGGAGGAGTGAAAGAAAGGTAGAGATGCTGCCTGAGGCCCTGTACAACAGACACAGTATGAGGGAGAAGAAGAAGGAGGAGGAGGAGGAGGAGGAGGAGGAGAAAAGGAGGAACAAGAACATTCGAGTTTGGATCAAAGAAGTGTGAAACATGCAAGAAGGGGTTTTCGGTGTGTTTCAGAGCTCACAAGTGTTACACGAACAAGAGAAATTACGACATAAACAATGGTGTCCTGTTGTGATACGCGTATCCACAGACAGGAAGGTAGGGGTAGTAAAATGTAGGCTTCGAACACCTTGACACAAAGCAGTGATTTTGTTTTCCCGAAAAGCAGCTTTAAATGTCCGCCAAAACCCCCGGTAGATTTATTTTTTAAATGACGCTGTTTTCTCCCGAGAAACAGCGCATGTAAAGGCATGTTGCGCAGTAAAAAAACTTTGTAATTTTTAAACTTGCAACCGTTAAAATTTGAACGTTCAACAGGCTCGCGCGCAGCACGAAAACGTCGATTAGCCGCAGAGAAAAACAAAGAATAAATAAAAACCAAACTTACCAATTAAACCGCCGACCATGAAGGCGAGCACCTGGAACAAAAGCAGAGTGACTCCCACTATCACCAACTTTTTGGTGCTCATGTTTTCAATAATAGCCCCCGCCATGATGATTTAAAGGCTGGAGTTTGTTTCCAGAAAAGCAGGAAAATCACAGCGGCCGCGACAGTAACGACAGCGTGGAGGGAAAGACGGGAAGAGACGCTGCATCCACGGCCAGCGGCAGGAAGACTAACTGGGCCCCTCCACTGCTCTGCCCCTGCCTTTCAACTTCGGAGGAGGAAAAGAAAAGAAAAAAAAAAACAGAGATCACATGACCGAGCACCACTCAGCTTTATCCCCACACAGACAACACCAGAGCGGGGAAAGATGTGTGGAGCGCCACCGCAGTGCAACAGAGGCAGCTAATGCAGGTTACCGTGTCACTGGATGCCTGTGATAGTATGGCCTCAGTGGGCTATTTAAAGTAGTGGTCGTGTGCAGTGAGATAAGCAACCATATATTGTCCGTCAATGTCTATTCTTAATCCAGTGTTGGCCTTTTACATAGGCATGGGTGAATACTTTGGCTGCCAAACAATAGAGGGAAATAGACAAATATTTACCTGTTCGTTAAATAATGTGCAATAAATACAGTTAATATTGATGAGTAAACATGTTACTCATCAATTTATCAACTTGTCTGAGGACCCCAAGGAAGTTATACCCCATTGTTTCCCAAAGACTGGGTCGTGACCCTCAGGTGGGTCGCAAGAGATTTTTTTGGGTTGTCTCGCATCACGTTTATGCTTTTAACATATGGGCCCCCGGAAAAAACGTCTGGGAAACACCTCCTAACTGAAAAACAGTAAAAAAAATAAAAAAAATAGATTTCCAAACCTCTTTTGGAGAGTTTCATAAAAAAAAGTTCTTTATCCCAAAGTTGAAATTATAAGAAATCATTTTATAATAATAATAAGATGCTACATTTGGCTAAATAAAATGTAGAACATTTTTGTTTACAACAGTCTCTCAATTTCTCTGTTCAATACACGTCATAACATCCTAAGAAACGGTGAATCAGTGCACGGAGCCTTCATGTCTCCTACATTCTGGAACAGATGCTGTGGGCCTGCTGTGTTCCTTAGAGACCAAAGACAGAACCTCCACCTCCTGTCAGTAAGTGGGACAGTAGTCATGAAGGTGTTGCAGGATGTGTGCGATGGCTCCGTTCAACAATCCATCCACTCCCCAGTATTTCAGTGGTCTTTTATTGAGTGAGGACACAGTCAACGTGCCTGTAACTCTTCTTTTTTAAAATACATAAGCACAAAGCATTCATGGAAAATAAAAATACAGCATGCAATCTAATTAAGTGCAAAACACACCACTAGTAAACACAGTGGAGAAATGGAGTAAACAGTTACCAGCTAATGTACTAGCTCGTGGCTTGAAGACAACAGCATGACAGTGGAATTTCCTACAGACAGCAAACAGATTAAAAAATGAAATAATGATTTTGAGCTAAATGAAATGTATTCCTTTAATAAACAGAAAGGGGTAATAATATAAAAGGAAGTCATTTAACTGGTGATGTCATGCTTTATTTTCTTGAGACTGAGGCATAACTGCAGCTTTTTTCTACCTGATCATGCTGATTGCAAACAAGCTTTGGCACTTAGGGACTGATTGGAGGTAAAAAAAGACATAGAAGACACAGGAAGTGCTTAACAGAGAGCTGTAATGGCTATGGCAGCCCCAAATGTTGCAAATGTTTAGAAACGTTTCTTCATTTTGTCCAATGCATCTGTCTCCCACATTTTGGCATCCCAAGCTTGGAACCAGCCAATGAAAGTCGGAGGTTCTGCTCCCTGTTTGATGGTAGTGATGGGAAGTCCCTTACGACCAGATGGGTCGGAATCGGCGTAGTCTTTTGCTGCAACAAAGGGAAAAAGTATAACAGTTTTTTAAAACTTAAAAATAAAAAAAGATGTGCATATTTTTAATAACACCGATTTTATATAAAATCATGAATGTGAGGAGAATATGTGAATATATGGGTCGCAGGTGCCTCAATAATCCAGAACATAATGGTTGGTGACATCTAATGGCCAGATGGCAGAGTGCAGCAACAATAGGCACAAAAGACTTAGCAAACATTAAAAGAACAGTGTACCAGTTACACTGTAATTCAAAGTACTAAGTTTCACTGTTGGCTGTAGTTTTGGTGAAACTAACCTATTTTGGGAGCTCCCTGTCTCTCCTCTGCATTTGCTTCGTTGCCAACCCACAGGAAAAGCTGTAGAGAGAAGAGATAACGTCAGACTTTCTCAGAAAATCTCCATTGTTGTAAATTAAAAAAAAATTAGATAACATGTTTTTCCCACCTGTTCCCATGTATCCAGAATCATGACATCATCGGTGGCCAGATCTGACTGAGTGAAATCTCCCGGAACTTCTTCAACCTAGGAGACAGTGCAGTAGAAAATACTGAATACTGATGGGAAAGTTTGAAATCAGCTTTTGTAAAACACTGCATTGACACTGTGATACATCAAATCTGAAACTGACGTGTCACACGTTTCTCTGACTTACAATGAGTCGTCCAGTTTTGTTGGAGCAGCCGAACAGACGTGGAGGTTTGAGCATGTTCTGCAGACTCTTGGAGGTCTGGTATTCCTTCTTTCCACCAAGAGCAGACCAGAAGTCAGCTGAAAATGACACAAACACAAGGAGAACATCGTTTAAACCTTGACTCTCAGTCTTCCAGAACGGTTCTTTGATTTCTACTGATAACTCTTTGGGTGGACTACACATCAGATGTTCCTCCTCAGACAATCACCTGGTTCTTTGCCCTCTGACACGTTGCTGGCGCCACCACCAAGAAAGTCCACGACATGTTTGGCAGCAGCCATCTCCTCATCGCTGGCTCCCACGCCTCGCCACACAGTCAGAGAGCTCGGGGTCTTCAGCACAAACACATCGTTGGTGTTCAGGTTGGACGCGGAGGCTTCCACCTGAGTGAGAACACGCAGGGAGGTGAGAAGTTGACGTGACAGGTTGCCGTCGCAAACAGAGTTAACGTCAGAGGAGGGCAGCTCACCTCCACAGCCCTGGTGGTCCGGGAAGAACTCTGTCGGATGTGGAACAGACGAGTAGCGGCGCTCTTAGACTGACCGCTGTTGCGGGACGTCCCTCCGCTGTGGATGATCATGGGCTTCCCCTGGAACAGGCTCATCAGATGTGGGGGCTCCTGACCCTGAGTCACTCTCACCTGTGGATGAAGATGTCAACACACACACAAAACGCAAGGTTAGACAGTAACATGGAGTGTGTCAGACAAAGGTGATATTTGGATATTATTGCATTTGTGTGAAAATAGGTTTTTTATGCTGCTGAATGAAGGTCTTCAGTTTTGAACTTAAAAAGTTTTTTTTTCAACTTTATTCTGTTCTTCTGTTAAACTATAAATACCACAGTAGCTTCCTGTACCATTAATTGCTTGTATATCATGTTGGTTATATGGATTTGGAGATATTTAGCTCAATGTGTATTTGTTTTAAGTGTTCAGATAAACTGCAAGAACAGGTTTAAAGTGTTTTAAATTGATTATTTAAATTTTTCTTTTTTTTTTACATGTTTTTCTGTGTGTGTTTCATTTATTTAACAAACTCTAGCTACTGTACAGACAATGACTTTCAATGTACTGCCATTAATGTGAAGAAACTGCTGTTTGGCTTGACGTGACCGCTTCTACCAGCATTAACACTGCCCTCTGCTGGTTGCCTTGAACCATCTTTTTATGCCATAGCAAAGCGTAAAAAACTTTTTTACTGTGAAATTAAACCTTTTAACTAAACGAGTTTTGAGAATTTGAACACATTTACATGCACAGTAAGTAGTAGTATTTGTAGTCTTACGTGAAACACGTGCATAAATTAATATAAAAGATAATTTAAATATTTGACCTTTCACAATAGGCCATTACAAAGTGGATTGTTATTGTTCTGTTTGTACGCCTGTACCAGGTCTGCTCTTATCAAGTAGGTTACAGTAGTCTTTGCACATGAGGAGGTGAGAACTGACCTGAACCGGGGCTCCACCCATGGAGTCATCCAGTTTTACA